TGGTTTTCTAGTTTCCTCATTCCTGGATCAGCAGGTAGGAGACAAACTTGCCATTTTCTAGAATTGTGCTACTGGCCAGAGGGCTACTATAGGGTCCAGAAATATATGGTGAAAGGTTTTGAGCAAGATGGTGACTTATACAATTGTAGATTACTATTGAAACAAACAGTTTACTAATAACTGGACTTCATTGAGGCTTCAGGGTTCATTAACTAGAAACTTAGCAGGAAGGACAAAGGGAATTATCCAAAATTCCCCAAATACCACCAACTGAAGACAGTTTTCTTTTCACCATCTGGCATGATTGAGTAATCCTACTGAACATATGAGATGAAGTAAAAACACATTCCTACCAGCTCTACAAATATGGAAAATAAGCCAAACATTCTCTCCCATTGTAGGTAGAAAAGTGTGTGCTGGGGGACCCTGGAGGTCATACTCTATACTACTGGGAACTTGGAATGATGCACTGATATTCTGAGATCCCATGGTAGGTCTTAGAAGAAGTAAGATGCTTTCACTTCCAATTTTTTTTTTTAATGACTATGTGAAACTCTCAAGGTTAGAGGACTATTTGAGCATTACTTCTTCCCTAGCCTCAGAAAAATGACACTGAATTCTCCTAAGAATGTATTGTCATGAAAGATTTTCACTAAGACAAAAAAGGAACTCTGTCAGGCCTGGATCAGAGGTTTGACAAAAGCTAGCTTAAAAAAAAAAAAGAGTATGGGAAGAAACCAAGACAGCAGCATAGGTAAACACACACTGCCTCGCACAACCACTTCAAAACTACAACTAAAAGACAGAACGGACATCATCCAGAACCACAGGAAGGCTGGATGAGTGGAAATTCTACAACTAGAAGGAAAGAGAAAAGCATACCGAGACTCAGAGGAGGTGCAGTGCGGAAGTAAAATACTAAGGTACGGAGGCGCACACGGAGCAGGCTGGCGGCTGAGGGTGCGGTTGTTGTTTTCAATTGGGAGGGAGTCTCAGGCTCTGAGCTCCAGTTCTGGGAGAGTCTCTGGGGACCCAGACTCATATGGGAGAAACGGGACTGTCTGGCATCGGTCAGAACTCGAGGGCAGCTTTCTCTCAGAGGGGCTTGCAGCAATTACCGGGACACTGAGAAGTGGGGCCTCTGAGAGCAGCCATAACTGCTAGCCCCGCCCTGTTGATCCTGGGGGACCTGCCTCGCCAAAGCCCTGCAGGGAGGCTTTTGCTGGATAGCCTAAGGCAGAGGCTAGATTAGCACCTCCCTAGAGATCCAGGAGCCAGTGTACCCAGAGGTCAGAGTGGGGCCATCCAGTTTTCAGCTCCATGGAACCATAAAGGACACACTCAGGGAGCAGACTCAGTGAGCACCAAAGCCCCATTGAAGCAAGTCTTGCCCTTGAGGGGTGTCTCCAGCACAGAAGTTCTCCCACTGCAGACACAGCTGATTCTCACAGCCAATTGGCCTGGAGGTCAATTCCTCCCAGTGATACAACAATCAAGGCTTAACTACAACAAGACTGTGCACAAAGACCACAAGGGGGTGCACCAAAAGTGTCCTCCTCAGGTAATTGGGGAGGCTGAACCACTGGGCCCTAGAGGACACTTAGCACAGAAAACCACTTTATCAACACAGGGAAGCATAAAAAATGCGTAGACAAAGAAAAAGGACACAAATGACAGAAATGGAGGAAAGAAAACTACTGGATATAGAGTTCAAAACCACACTTTTAAGGTTTTTCAAGAATTTTCTAGAAACTGCTGATAAACTTAATGAGACCTACAAGAAATCTAATGAGACCCTCAATGTTGTGATAAAGGACCAACTAGAAATTAAGCATACACTGACTGAAATAAAGAATATTATACAGACTCCCACCAGCAGATTAGAGGATCGCAAGAATCAAGTCAACGATTTGAAATATGAAGAAGCAAAAAACACCCAACCAGAAAAGCAAAATGAAAAAAGAATCCAAAAATACAAACATAGTGTAAGGAGCCTCTGAGACAGCTTCAAGCGTACCAACATCAGAATTATAGGGGTTCCAGAAGATGAGAGAGAGCAAGATATTGAAAACCTATTTGAAGAAATAATGACAGAAAACTTCCCCTACGTGGTGAAAGAAATAGACTTACAAGTCCAGGAAGAGCAGAGAACCTCAAACAAAAGGAATCCAAAGAGGACCACACCAAGACACACCATAATTAAAATGCCAAGAGCAAAAGACAAAGAGAGAATCTTAAAAGCAGCAAGAGAAAAAAAGTCAGTTACCTACAAGGGAGTACCCATACGACTGTCAGCTGATTTCTCAACAGAAACTTTGCAGGCCAGAAGGGAGTGGCAAGAAATATTCAAAGTGATGAATGCCAAGAACCTACAACCACGATTACTTTACCCAGCAAAGCTATCATTCAGAATTGAAGGTCAGATAAGGAGCTTCATAGATAAGAAAAAGCTAAAGGAGTTCATCACCATCAAACCAGTATTATATGAAATGCTGAAAGGTATCCTTTAAGAAGAGGAAGAAGAAGAAAAAGGTAAAGATACAAATTATGAACAACAAATACACATCTATCAACAAGTGAATCTGAAAATCAAGTGAATAATCTGATGAACAGAATGAACTGGTGATTATAATAGAATCAGGAGCATAGAAAGGGAGTGGACTGACTATTCTTGGGGGGAAAGGAGTGAGGGGGATGCGGGAAGAGACTGGACAAAAATCGTGCACCTATGGATGAGGACAGTGGGTGGGGAGTGAGGGAGGAGGGTGAGGTGGAAACTGGGTGGAGGGGAGTTATGGGGGGTAAAAAGAGGAACAAATGTAATAATCTGAACAATAAAGATTTAATTAATCAAAAAAAGTATGAATGAATATCTAAGATTCTATCTTTTGTTATAATAACATGCTAACATTTGTAAATAAATCACTTTATAAAGATAGTGAAATTTGAGCCTGCTCTTGTCTACAACACACTCACTTGTATTTCACAAAGCTTCCTTGAGTAGAAGGATAAAGAGTGGAACATCTGGGAATTGCTTATTTCAGGGGAGTGTTTCACACATGAGCAAGTCAGCTAAAGAAAGTTTAGAATCATTATTCAGTCTAAACTAGGCATTCTCAGATTATGGTCCTCAGACCAGCTAAATTACCTGGGAGTTAGTGAGAAATGCAAATTCTCAGATCCCCAAAGCAGACCTAATGAATCAGATCCACTGGGGTGGGACCCAGCCTTCTGTGCTTTAGCTAGCTTTCTGGGTAATTCTAGTGCTCATGAAAGTTTGAGCATTTCCCCAGAGTGTTGGTTCTCAAAGTGTGGTCTCCTGACCAACATCATCAGCATTTCCTGGGAAACTTCTTATAAGTCACCTGAGACTTGTTCAATGGGCATTGGCAGGTGGGAACAAAAATGCTCCATGGTACTTTTAACTGTTCAGAGGCCACAGAGGTGGCAAAATTGAACATATAAACTAGTGAATTCTAGAAAACCAGAAGTTCTCTGGACAGGTATGGTGCTAAAGCTTTACATAAATTCTTTCTTTTAATCCACAGAAAGCCCTAAATTGATCTTATGCTAATCATCATTTTACATGCAGCAACTAAGGTTTAGAAAGGGTTAAAACACTTGTTTGAACCCAACCAGCATGGCTTAGTGGTTGAGCATTGACTTATGAACCGGGAGGTCACAATTCGATTCCTGGTCAGGGCACATGCCCGGGGTTGCAGGCTGGGTCACTGGTGGAGGATGTGGGGGAGGCAGCTGATCAGTGGTTCTCTCTCATCATTGATGTTTCTGTCTCTCTGTCCTTCCCCCTTCATCTCTGAAATAAAATCCCCACTCAAGCAAGTCCTACTCCATAGGGGTGTCTCCTGCAAAGAAGATCTTCTACTGTATTTGAAGCTGGTCCTCCCAGACATTTGGCCTAGAGGTCAATTCCTTCCAGTGATGCCAACAGTAATAAAGGCTCAACTACAGCAAAACTGTGCACACAGCCCACACAGGGGTGCAACTGGAGTTCTCAGCTCAGGTGACTGAGGAGGCTGAGCCACTGGGCCCTACAGGACACCTACTACATAAGGCCACTCTACCAATTCCAGGAGACATAAAGCTCTACCTAATACATAGAACTGAATACAGGGAAGCAGACAAAATGCAGACACAAAGAAATGTCACAAATGAAAGAACAGAAGAAATCTCCAGAAAAAGAACTAAATGAAATGGAAGCAACAAAATTACTAGACAAAGTTTAAAACAATTGTTATAAGTTTGCTCATGGATTTTAATGAAAGCTTCAAGGGACTTAGTGAGACTTTTAAGGATCTTAGTAAGAATTTCAAAGACATAAAAAAGGACCAGTCAGAAATTAAGCATACACTAACTGAAATAAAGAATACTTTATAGGGATTCAACAGTAAAGGATTCTGAGAATCAAATCAACAATTTGCTATATGAGGGGGAATCTGTAATACTCTCAACAATAAAGATTTTTTAAAATTAAAATATATTTTAAAATATACTTTTTAAAAAAGAGACAAAATAAAGACACTTGTTGGAGGTTCACAGCTGTTAAGGTGGGAGAGAAGCAGTTGAAGTGAGAAGCCCGTATATTCATACCTTGAACTGCACTGTTCCAAGCCCTTAGATACATCATGTTATTTAATCCTTACAGTAGCCTATGGTAACCATTTTTATTGTCGAACAATAGAAGTTCAGAGCTAAACAAGTTGATATTATATAAAGATCTGAAACCCAGCCTGGGTGATACAAGCTCCCTACTCTCCACTACCATGCTGTTCTTTACTTAGTATGCTCTATGGAATGTCATTGTGTTTCCCAATTTTGGATTAGATTTTATTCCCCCTAACAAAGGTGTGGGACAGCTATTATAGGATCGAGAGACATTCAAAATGTAATTCCTATACCCTCCCCTTCTTTGAAGAATTGAATTATTTTCTGTGAGAGCCTCTAAATTACCTAATTTTTTTTGTTGTTGTTGTTGGTAGAACTCACAGAAAACATTGGGCTTCCCCTGGAACTGCTGGAAAAACAAGACCCCTGGCCGGCCTATGTCACATATACCTCCCCGATGGTGCAAAGACTCATTGAGAAAAGCAAAGCTAGAGAACTGGAATTCACGCAGGTTCTGGAGGAAAACCGATGGGCTCACAGGCAGAGCAGGACGCCCAGTATCGTCCATATGAAAAGAAAACTGTCATCCAAGACCTCTGGCAAAATGGTGTTCAAGGACACGAAGTCCGAGACCATGTTGTCGGTGTGGAGCGATTTTTCGGCATCGGCTTCAGGTCCCACCATCATCCCAGAGCCCTTTCAAATGGATTCCAGAGAAAGTCCCACTGCAAACTTTAACAAGATCATCTTCTCTCGAAAACCTCTGATGAGGATGCTTCCATCAGCTCACTTCTGGCCAGCAAAGAGAAACATTTAAATGTTTAGCAAGCAGTCCCTGCAACCCTCCAAGACTGTACAGCAATTAAGCTTCATTTGCCACAAGTTTCACTATGTCCTTCAAGGCTGAACTTGTCCCTGCTCAGGCTGGGAAGCCAAGCTCTAGTTTCCACTATCAATGCTTGGGACCTAACTGTGGGTAAATTAGGCTGGGTCCAGACAAGAGACAGAAGTCACACCAGTTATTTTATTAGAGATAATTGAATAGGATTATTAACTTGGTAACTGAAGAGACAGGAAGTATGTATCACCTCCAAGGCTGGGGGTGGAGGGGACAAAGGGAAGCTATTGGACTACCTAAAAGTGAGACAGTTGGAGGGAGTGTGGGCTGAATCCCAGGTTTCCGAGGTGAGGGAGTGGGGTGCTCCTTAGCTGGTGCTGGTGCCTGAGCTCAGCAGAGAGCCCCTATGGGGATGGCACTCCTGCAGTGAGGAGGGGGCTGTTTTGGCTGAGGTTGATTCTGTGAGTGTTGGGAAAACCAAAAAGCTGTCCTCAAATGCTTCTGAAGGAATTGACACTACCTGAGTGAACAAGAAGCATTGCTAGGGGAAACAGACAGGGACAGGAAGCCCCACAGAGATAAACAGGAAGTAAACCAAACATGAGCTACTTCCTCTGCCTCCAGCCTCTAGGCTCCCTCTAGCACCCACTGTGGGCAGAGCCTATCAGGGCGGAAAGCAGGAATGTGGGTTGCAGAATCCCAAACCCAGCATCTCAAAGAATAGTATAAAAGGATGGACTTGAAGCCATGAGGAAATTAGCTTGGCCCAGCACGGTGGAGTTCCTGTGGTCCCGCCTCGCTGCCCCACTTGGCACCTGAACCTGGCATTGAGATGTTTTGCCTTGGACGGTTTACAGAGTGCAGGGAGGCTCGGCTGCCCCCTGCTAAGAAATGGAGGGCTTTCTCCCTGTATCTCTTTAAGGCTTGACTTGCCGAGCAGAGCTGGTGGGAAGCCCGTGGCTGGACCTCAGCTGCTGTCTGTCAAAGCACAGCTAGACTGGGGCCACTCAGGCTCTGAGTGGCTCCTGTGTGGGGCCAAAGCACGGGTTGCTAAACCACCGTTCCAGCAAACAGGCTCTGTCTTCACACACGAGGGGCCGGGCCGCCTGGCGGCCCCAGCTGGTCTCAGGTGTGGGTTCATCTCTGAGCACAGCTCCTCTGGGGGCTTTTCTTCCCTTCAACCTCCCCTGAGTTCTGTGTTTCTGTTTCTACAGCAGCTAATACTTATCATGCTTCCCTGTTGCTATAAATGCCATTTGAAAAAGTTGAATTTGCCCTACAAATGTGTCCTCTCCACCCCAGAGTCTGGGGAGAGGGTGCTCAGCTCTGGCTGCTGTGCGCTGGGATGGAGTGGCCGCCCATCCTGCATCTCAGCTCTGGCCAGAACGAGTTCGGGAAAGAACATAAGTGGGTCCCAGCTCATCCAAGCGGCTATGCTTTGTGAGCACTGAGCACTTACAGACATGGAGGATAAATTCCTCCAACAAAAATTTTTATCTGTTCTTTCATGGAAGTTTATTGCCAGAATCGATTTAGAAAGCTAGGGTTAGAGTTTGCAGGAATTTGGAATTATTTCTTCCGATCCTTTTGAGAGCAGAGAACTTACAGTTCTTTTTTAAATTAAATTTCTAGGTGTTTAATAGTTCTTATGAAAAGATATACTCTCTCAATTTAAATGAGTGTCTATAAATAGCGTTTAGATGAATTTAATTCTAGGTCTATTATAACCACAACACCATGAGCTCCATGTGTGATGAGAATGGGTTGCATCTGTGGCAGTTCAGACTGTCTCCTGAGGCAATTTTAACACCAAAAACGTCCGATTCTATTTGAAATGTGGACTCTGCTCAAGCCCACGCTGGGCTCATGGGTCTGGCCACACGTGCACAAGGCGGAGGAGGCTGCTGGGAAACCCTCCTCCAGGGAAGAAGCAGCTGGGTGAGGCCAGCTGAGCCAGCAGCCACGCCTTGGCCGGGGCAGGGGGGCATCCTGTGTAACTGGTGGCTGCTGCTGAAGTTTGTCTCCTGGTGCAGACTTCTGTGAGCTCCATGGAGGGGGGTCCCGTGAGTCAATGTTTAAAGGGCTCTTTGGCTAAAATCTTGGAAGGCCCTGTAGTACAAGTGGAGTGTTAGGAAGAGAGCTTCTTGCTTTCACAAGTACCAGCACACGGGGCTGGGCCTGTGCAAGCAGCAGCCGGGTCTGGTGGAGCCCAGTGGACACCTGGCAGCGCCAGCTTTGTTCAAAGAACCTTCCAGGCATCCTGGGCCCGGCCCACAACAGGCATCCCGGGTGCTCCCAGAGCAGGCCTGGGGCCTTTCCAGGGCCTGAGCCCAGCCAACTCCTACAGGCCGGCGCAGGCAGGAATGCAGACTATTCCTAGTATGGCCGCATCTGCCCTCCAAGCCCAGGCCGGGGCAGCTCAGGTTACGCTGGACATATTGAACTTCCATCTCTAAGAGAGAAATGGCTTTCTTGGATGTCCCACAGCCCACAGTGGCCTCCTCTCATCTCCTCAGAAACTGGAATTTTCTGTTTGGCATGAGAGCTGCCGGCAGTTAGCCTCCCTGTTGGTGTCGTTCACGCAGCAGCAGGGTTCTCTGTTGGCTGCTGTGTGGCCGTAACTAAGGCCCTGTCTGACACATGCCCAGGAGCTGTGTCACTAAGGCTCCATGTGACATATACCACGGAGCTGTTTTTGAACACATTCTCTGGCTCCCGTGCACAGTATGGCACTCACCCATTTGCAAATTCCACAGTTGGTGTTGAAATCCTCAGACGTGACAGCCTGCTGGCCATTTTTGCTCTGGCCGGGCTGTCAGGACATCAGACAGCTCCATAGGCAGCCCAGCCAGGCCTGGGGCACATCTTGAAGGAGATAAGGCTGCCTGACAGATGAGGGGCTGCAGGAGAGTCTTCAAAGACACACCACATAAACAAAGGCGCTGGCGCAGATTCCTGCCAGGGTGGCCTGGGAGCCCTACCAGGAATAGGAGGCTGGGGTGGGACCTAACTGGCCGGCCTGAGCACCGGACTTGATCAGCAGCACCGGTGGCCCGTGTGGTGCAGCCAGAAGACCTGTTCTTGACACTGTTGGCCTAGGTCAGTGGTCGGCGAACTCATTAGTCAACAGAGCCAAATATCAACAGTACAACGACTGAAATTTCTTTTGAGAGCGAAATTTTTTACACAAACTGTATAGGTAGGTACATTGTTATTAATTAGGATACTCCTAAGGCTTAGGAAGATCCACACTCTAGGGGCCAAAGATCCGCATGTGGCTCACGAGCCCCAGTTTGCCGACCACGGGCCTAGGTCATTGTCTAGGAACAGACTGATTTACAGACCCCTTAGTCTCTTCCTTCAGTACAGACAGACAACATGGATGCCTCCCTGAATTGAGAAGGTGGAGGAGGGGGCCTGGATGTAGGGGGATTTTGACCCTGGGGCCTGATGGGAATCCTCAGAGGTAGCCCAGAAATCTCAAGGAGCAGGGATACTGCACAGGACTCCCAACCAGGGACCTGAGGTGTGTCCGTGGAGACAAGACCAGGAGCAGGGGTGCCATAACAAGACAGTGGGGGTGCTTTGGGAGATGGGTGCAGGCAGACTGCCTGCTGCATCTCCACAGGGTGGTGCTCTTCAGCGAGCAAACTCAGTCCTAGAAGCCTTAGGAGTCCCCACCCTTCTCCCGTGGCCTGCAAGCTGTCACAGCTGTGCTTTATAGTGTAGATGAGGCTGAAGGAGAGACGGGAGAGAAATCAATGGGACCTGAGATTTATTGATCTGACATCCTGAGTCCGAGCTGGAGTTTAGACCTGGGTTTGTTTGCTGAGTAGTCAGAAAACTCTCTCTTCCAAAGCCTCAGCCAGCTCCTTAGGTACATGGAAATCCCAAGTACATGGTTGGGCCCGGCTGCTCATGGCACTGGGTACATACACAGGCTTCCTCAGGGCCCCAGGGACGAGGAGCCACAGGGAATGCAGGAATACCTCAAGGGTAAGTGGGGCCCATTGCCACCCCTTGACCTTGACCATGATCTGGATTCCATATGGGACAGGGCAGGATAAACCGTGTCATAAAAGGACATTGGACTTCTGTCTCTTCTCCCAGGGCAGTAGAAGCTGTCACCCCACCTGAGGCCTTCCTAGGTGACAGCGCTGGAGCCCAGCCTGGCTCAGGGCACCAGTCACCTGTGCTCCAGACTCAGTTGTTCAGTTTCCCGGAACATTCCATTATTTTTGGTGGGCAAGTGATGTGAGACGCCACAAATTTCAGGCAAGTTTGAAACCTCCCTCTGTGGAACCATTTCCGTGTGTCAGCCAGTGAGGGTGCTTTTATGGAGATCAAAGTCAGTGCCAGAGTCGCCGCTGGGAGGAAGCTCACCTGGGGACACCAGGCTGCCTGCCACCCTTTGGCACTTTGGAGCTCGTCCGTGTCCCGCAGGCTTACATCCTGGCTTCCCTGGTGGACACGCCAACGCTGACACAAGCAAACCTCTTGGGACTGGAACCAGGCTCTCCACTCAAACGCAAGCTGCCCCCTACACCCAGGTCCCCTCCTCGCACCTTCCTGATTCAGCAGTGGCACCCACCTCCTGTGTGCCCTTGAGTCTGCCAGGTGTGTTCAGCCTGTGGCCACTGAACCACAGGCTCAGTTGTGGTGCCTTTGGCTGTGAAATGGCTTTGAGAGGCACAGTGACCCAGAGACGATTTATCATGTGCTGCCGGATCAGCAGAGCAAGGAAGGTGAGTTAGAAAGTGCCACGAGACCTCGACGAGGTCAGTCATGTTCACTGTCATGGTCCCAGAGCCCTGTCCATCATGGTCTGGCATGTAGTTGGTGCTTAACTATTTATTGAGATTATTTACAACAGTAAGTCTTAACCTCTAAACCAAAATGGATTGGGAAGAGGTGGTTTCTTTCATAATAACCAGAGGCAGCAAAAACCTCATGGCCAGGTTTTGTAGAAAGTGGGAGGC